CAAAAAGTGTTTACTGTCTAAGGTCGCTCTAGTTACCTACTATCTTAAAAGAAGTAGATATAGGATAACACTATATAATTGTAATAGTAATTTTATGAATCTTAATAAAGTACTAGCATGACTGCCTAAGGAAAAAAAATAATAATAATATAATTATAAAATTATATATACTTGCTTATTATAGTAATAAAATTATTATTGAGTATTATAAAAAAATATATTATTATATATTATTAAAATTTTAATATTATAACTATTATTAAAATTTTAAATATTATTATCATTATTAAAAGTTTAAATATTATTATTATTATTAATTTTACTATTATTAAAATTTTAAATTGATATTATTGCTATAATCAGATATAAAATATCTGTAAAAAGAATAATAAATAATCTGCTTAGATCTAATATTAGATCAGATATATCTGTTTAAATAATATCTGTATCAAATCTAAATATAATTATTCAGATTACTACTCTAAGTCTATGAATATATTATATTTGTCTGAATTATAGTTGCATAAAGGTATAGTTGAAGTTTTTTGGCTTATAAGTTAATTGTAATAAGATGAGATAATTATATAAAGGTAACACTTGGTAAAATATTTAACATAATGAATTATTTTGTATAATTAGAATAGCAAGTAGTTGTAGGTTTTATTAAAAAGATAAAATTGCAAATAGGTGTTGAGATAATGTTTTCTTTTAAGAGTATAGCAAGGTTTGTATATTCAGTTTAAGGTGATGTTGTATTATATTGTTAATGTTTATACAGTGAACTTTTAAACTAAATATTTTGATAACAGTACAATAAGATGTAGTAAGTACAATTATATATTGCTAATTAGTATTAGCAATACAGGTGTATTTGCATTGAATACATTTAGCAAGTGATGCTATGTATTTAGTTACATAATATAAAAGTTGATTAGTTGCAACTATAGTTGGCAACTAGTTGATTGGCAAACTTTTTACCAACTTGGAACATTAGCTCTGTGCAAAAATTGTAAACTGATTATATTCATAATAAATTAGTTTTGCTTTCATATGATAGAAATTTTTTTATAGATTGTTTGATGCTTATTCTATTATTTACTAAATTTACAATTAATAATATTTTTGAGTATGCCCTAGGAAGGCTTTGAATAGTGTACTACACGTAATACACCTTTTTTGCAGAATTATACCATGACTTAAGATCGTATAATTTGCCAATTATATAATAAAAATAAAATAAAAATGCTACTTGGCTTTTAATGATTATTTTAGTAAAATATCTTTTGAATTTGTTAAGTTTTGGGCTTTTTATGAATTTTGTAAAGCGTACTACCGGTAGTACAAAATGTGAAATCCTAACCATGAATCTAAAGCCTAAATATTATTCTCGATTTAATGCAAGTATAAGTGGTATTTTCTTATAGGAGTTCGTAAATTATTTCACAATATAATATTCATCTGAAAAATTAAATAGATATTAAATAAATATTTTAAGATGTATAATATTGCAAACCGATAAAGTTTACCTGAAGAACCTAGTGATAAATTGAAATATGCAATAAAAGTTTTTATTATTTTATAGAATTTAAATGCTTGTGTCTTTGTAGTGTCGCAAGCGAACTATGACCAATCCGAACCAATTTTTTGGATTGGGCCATAACCCAATTCGATAACCACCGTTCCGCAAACGATCCTTAGGTTCTCATGTCCGAACAGATCTTTACCGATGATTAACAATCGTCATGTTCATATAACGACCTTTGGATGTTTGCAAATCATACAAAAGATCAATGCAAAATGTATAAAGGCGAAAGGAAAACAAGACTTCAGGCTTTTAATTTAAAGCCTACTGGAACTCATTACTCAAATTTCAGGAGTTGAATCCGTTGAGTTTAGAAGGCTGAAGTTTGGTTTTCTCTTCGTGCTATTCATATCCAAACAATGTCCCAGGGAGTTATTTATTTGCATGCAATTTGAAGAGAACTAATAATTGTTTAACCGGATGTAAACCATATAATTTTATTTTTGGCTAAATTAATCGTTAGTTCTCTTCAAATTGTATGCCTAAATAACGCCCTGGTGTGTTATTTAGATATAGTTAATAAGTAACACTTACCATTTAGAATGGCAATAATCTTTTGCGTATCAATTTGTCGGCTTGTATATGATGTTTGTGGGTGAGTCTTATAATTTAATCTATCGAATTTTGTTTCGCTTGAAGCCAAAGAAGTTTTTGATAAATTAGTAATTTCTTTAATACACATTGATATTTCTGAAGTTGGTGCAGTTTGTTCGTCATTCCATTTCCTAAATTTATCATCAATTTCTTTGGCCGTTGGTCTGTTCTGAGGTTCAGAATCCCAACAGCTTTTCATCAAGTCTATTAAGCATTTTGGTGCAGGTGTTTCAAACTCCGGACGGAGGCCGACAATTATTTTACAAGCTAGGTTATTATCGTGTGGTACTTTATAGTAAGCTGGATAACCAAAAAGTACTTCAAAAATAATAATTCCGAAAGAGTAAACATCCGAAGCTTTTGTATAGCTCCCACCACATAAAACTTCTGGTGCTATGTATGGAATTACGCCATAAATATTTTGACAGTTTTCAGGAGTTTCATAATAATTTACAGGTTTGCAAAGGCCAAAATCTGTAATCGTAGACAAAGTTTTGGATCTCATCACAATATTTCCTCCATGAAGATCTTGATGAATTAAATTTCTTTCATGAATGTTTTTAAGACCTCTTGCAATATAGTATAAAATTTCTACTTTATGTTCCCATTTTAATTCATTAAAATTTTCATCTAAATATGTTCTGAGACTCCCATGCTCTGCATATTCCATAATCATTACATAAATATCATCTGGATCTTTCGTAATTCCGTAAATTTGAGTAACATCGCCTTGAAGATTTGATATAGACTGCAGTTTAATCTGTATAATTTTAAATTACAAATAATAAGTAAAACATGTTTAATTAAGCAATTAATATCACATTTTGATAAATCTTCACCTCGTCTAAAAACTTTTGCGAAATGATTTTTGAATTATTCAACCTTTTGAAAATTACTGGTTGAGCACCAATTCTTTTCCATTCTCCCTTTTTAATATCCCATTTAACTATGGGTCCATCGGTCCAAATAGCTTTAGAAACTGTTGCAACCCGCCTTTGGCAATAAATCGAACATCTTTAAGTTTATCAAAAGGAATCCATTCAAATTTTTCTCTTTGAACATTATGATCAAGTTGTACTTTCTGAATAAATTCATCAATGTCTTTGCTTCCGCTAGTCCATTTTAGAAACTCTTGCTGGAAATGCTTAGCATTACAATATTTACACCATGATTCGTCTGTATTTGGCTGCTGGCATTCTTCACACATTCCATATAATGTCGGACAAATTTTTCTTAATCTCTCTAACAATTGTTCATCGATATCAAATTCCATATCTATAACTCTCGGAGAATTTTCCGAGAGGTCTGTCATTTCAATTTTATCATTCTGATAGTCTTTATTCATATAACTAACTAGTGCTTTTTTTATATAAGAGTGTAGACCTTCTGTCAATCCCATTTCAATTAATTTTTTATAATAAATAGATGCTTTGGTTTCGTCTTTTTCAACACCGATTCCATTTTTATAACAATGAGCAACTTTAGATATTCCTGTAGGGTGCTTCATTTCTGCTGATTTTTTGTAATAAGTAAATGCAATAAATTCGTCTTCTTCGACGCCAATTCCATTTTGGTAACACGCACCAAGACTATACGTCCCGTCAACATGACCCATTTCAGCAGATTTTTGATAATAAATGAATGCCTCATGTTGATCTTTCTCAATTCCAATTCCATATTCATAGCACATACCCAGATGATAAAATGCTTCAGTATTTCCCATATTGGCAGATTTCTGATAGTGAATGAATGCCTTATGTTCATCTTTTTCAACACCAATACCATTTCTATAGCAATAGGCAACCCTAAACGCTCCATAAGCATTTCCCATTTCAACGGATTTTTGATAATGAATGAATGCCTCATGTTCATCTTTCTCAATTCCAATCCCATATTCATAGCACATACCCAGATTATAAAATGCTTCAGTATTTCCCATGTTAGCAGATTTCTGATAGTGAATGAATGCCTTATGTTCATCTTTTTCAACGCCAATTCCATTTTGGTAACACGCACCAAGACTATACGTCCCGTCAACATGACCCATTTCGGCAGATTTTTGATAATAAATGAATGCCTCATGTTCATCTTTCTCAATTCCAATTCCGAATTCATAGCAGATAACCAGATGATTTAATGCTTTAGTATTTCCCATATTAACAGATTTTTGATAGTGAATGAATGCCTCATGTTCATCTTTTTCAACACCAATACCATTTCTATAGCAATAGGCAACCCTAAACGCTCCATAAGCATTTCCCATTTCAACGGATTTTTGATAATGAATGAATGCCTTACTGTTATCTTTTTTAATTCCAATACCATGTTCGTAACAAATGCCCAGATAATTTGTTGCTTTAGAATTCCCTTCATCAGAAGATTTTTGATAATGACAAAATGCTTTATATTCGTCTTTTTCGACTCCAATTACATTTTGATAACAATAACCAACATTAAATGTTCCATCGGCATCACCCATTTCAGCAGATTTTTGATAATAATTAAATGCCTTGTATTCATCTTTTTCGATTCCTATTCCACGTTCATAACACATGCCCAAATAATTTATTGCCTTAGCATTACCTTTATCAACAGATTTTTGATAATAAATAAACGCTTTATTCTCATCCTTTTCAACTCCGATCCCATTTTGATAACAGTAGCCAACTTTAAACATTCCGTAAGCATCTCCCATTTCAGAAGATTTTTGATAATGATTGAATGCCTTTTGTTCATCTTCAATTTTTATTTGATTGGAATTTTCTATTTCGACTGACTTTAGAAAATTATCATTCATTTTAATTAATATGTATTTTCCTCTACACAATATAATATTATTCAAGGATGCTGCCTTCTTTCTACATAAAGGAATTTATATTTATATTCCACCGAAATTTTGTACTTTTATCATATGATTTAATTTGTAAATTGTAACATGATAATTCCTTTATTTGGAAGAATATCAATACCTGTATTGTTAAGCGGTTAAGTCAAGTGTTTCTGTTACAAATACACGCTTTTGATTGGATATTTCTATATGCACATATGATTACTTATTTCTATATTTATTATAGATGTGAGCTTATTGCACTATTTTACAAACTACTATATTTATATAATTAGAAATTGCGTATGGGGCTTTACCATCTATCACTATATGCGATTTTCCTTAATTGCATATGGGTAGTGATGGGCAAATTGCAGTTTTTTAAAATCCGCGCGGGATCTGCGGAATATAGTAGAGTTTTTTTAATTTTTCATGAATTATAAAAATATATATAGCAGCTGAAATTGAGGTCAGCTGAAGCTTTGATTTTGAAATATTTTAATATTAAATTTTTAAAATTTTTGGGGCCTTCTTTGTTAGCTTTTTTTTTTATAGTTAGGTTTAGAGGTAGTTTTATTAATAAAATAGTACAAATGAATTTTAGTAGGTACGTATTATAGATTTAAATTGAAACCTCCCGATCTCAGCTTCAGCTGCCATAAATATTATTACTAGAAATATAATTTCTTGTTAAAATAATATGTTTATAATCTGGGTCTGGTCCAAGTTTTCAAAATGATGCCAAATTGGTTTATATCATTTACTAATTAGAAATTGGCCCATTTATGTTAATGCAGGCTGGATGATATTTAATGCATGCCAGATGATATGCTAATGCAGGCCAAATAATCTCATATTAAAATCCCGTGCGGGATCCAAAAAAAAATCCGCGTGTGGCCCATAACTACATATGAGGCTTCTCTACCTAATGTGTAGCAGGCTATATCGAGCATACATATTACAGTACAAATGCTGATTTGTTACGTATACATATATATTGAGCCCCGAAATCGGTCCTACAGTTATCACGGTCACACGTGATCGATCGTCGAGTAATTGGTCACATGAAAAGTAAGAGAAACCTTTATTACTTCGGGTAGATCGACAGTATATAGAATATCCGTTTCTTCTTTATAATAGTAGAGATAAGGGTTTTGATGAAGATATAGTGTAAATAAGCAACTAGCTCTCAGGCCCGGGCGATGCTCCAGGGCTAGTTCCTAAATGTTTTAAATCTTAGATTTTGTAGTTATTAATTTTATTAATAGATATAATAAGTAATTTATAGTTTTTAACTC